TGCAGTCAAGTAATAAATACCTAGAAGATACTATGCTTTATGGGGATCAAGACAAATAGTGGCCATGCATCCTTCCATTGTACCTTAATTTGCTGCCCCTGGTGGAACTCACTGGACAAGCAGAGCTGAGAAGCTCCATGGGAAGCATCAGGAATGCTGGGGCCTGAGGGCTCAGGCTGGGAGCCCAGCTGGCAGCCTCTGTGGTTCTGCATGTTGGGTAACAGACTAGGGGGTAGTTCTTGTGTGGGTTACTCTGGGGACTCTCACACTGTGTGGTAGCCATAGGAACAGTAGTATGTAGCTTCATCTTCTCTCTTTAAGAAATTGATCGTCAAAGTTGTTGTGGAAGTGCTAAAATTCTTACTTGCCTCAAATTTCCTGTCCTTCCCATCTAAAGATTGCTGAGTAGAAGTATAAATGACATACAATAGATGCTCTAAGCTTTGGCCGGGTTTCTGTCGGTACCAGTGAATGGCAACACTGCGGAAGCTACTGATGGATGCCTTACAAGGCACCTGGGCACTGCCATCTGTGGCTCTGGAAACTGAGATTTCAGGTTGCTCCAAATACCCGAGTCCAACTGCAAGCAAAGAAGAGAGAGATTGCCATCAACAAATGACATCTGAAGAAGCAACACTATGAAATGACTTCAATCCCTTCAGTCTTCATCTCTTTCTTAGCTAGAAGTGATGGGGAAACTCACAAGCCCAGAGGAAGGAGAAGATGGCTGCTTTCAGAAGTGGTACCATGTCTGCCAGGCTGAGCAGACAGAGAAGGTGGCAACTTATGATCTGGGGTGGGGTTGGAGGCCCTGGGCTCCATGACAGGAGGGGCAGAAATGTCCTGGTGTCTCAGACATGAGGGCGTCAGGAGATTTCCTGAGCTTCTTCATGATCTGCTCTGTGATTTCCTGCCCCACAAGAGCTGGGTAGAGAGAGTAAGTAAGGGAGACATTCTGGTCTGAAGTTCTCCATCTGAACCAGTGGGTGGGTGCAGTGTACATGCTTGTAGTCCTAGCTATAGGAGAAACACAAGAGTTGGACACAGTGGCATGTGTATGCCATCTCCAGCTACACTGAGAAGTACAAGAAGGAGGAATGAAGCCCAGGCTTCCTGGGCATAAAGCAAGACCCTATCTCAAAAATAACCTGTGCAACAAGGGACAGGGTTATAAGTCAAGTTGTATAAGGTCCTAAATCCTAAGTTCAATCTCCAGTCACACACACACACACACACACAAAATTATCAGAAGTAATATAGATGAGAATGATATTCAGACTCTCACAAAACATAGGAAAAGGACCAATGGATTATGTATCTAACTTCATTTCCTGGGTTTGCTTTGCTTGCAAAACAAACAAAACATCTTTTTCATTTATCTCAAAATTACAGAATAAACCATGGATCCTTGATACAGGAAACCAAACAGCTGAACATGTGGATTCTGATTTCAGAATGTTTGAACAATATGCACAGGAGACATGCAAAGGAATCTGAATACTGTTCCGAAGTTTGCTTAAACACTACTATTAAAAATAAGCAATGAATGAGATGTACAAGTCGCTATGTCAAAAAACGAACTTACAACTTTGGTGGGGTGGTATGGGGTGGGGGAGGATAGTGGGGAGGGGAATGGGAAGGGGAAACAAAAGAGGAGGCAACAATGCTTGATAAGAAATGTACTTGTTATCTTGTCCATGTAATTGTAGCCTCTCTGTACAGTATTTTCACAATAAAAAATAAAAATAGGCAATGAACACATTGGATAGTTTTATTTAAAGAAATCAAATAAGAATACATTGGCATTTTGCTTCTTTGGTCAAAGACAAAATTTCTCAAATTCTGAGCAGGGGCTTTAGCCCACTATAGTAATTGGTGTCAACTAGCATCATGAGATAATCTGGCCTCTTCCCCTTGGAACGGAAATGGTGTACTAGTTCTATGATCCCCCTGAGACAAAGAATCAGTTGGAGATATTTGATAAAAGTGGCAAGACCACCTGGGTCTCCCCTGTCCTATCTGCCCTGTAACTGCTGTGTGATGTAGATCAGCATCTTCAGCTCTTCCTTCTTCCTCTATCTCCTAACTCAGATGTGACTAACCAGAATAACAGTGCTATGGGCTAAAGAGCATACATACATAAAGAACAGAGATCTCTAATGGAGAACTCTCTTTCTCTCTCTCTTTCACACACACAGAGAATACAACTGAAACATCATGAACTATTTTGTTGAGCAGAACTTTGGTTGTGTCCAAGTGCAAGTTATTTCGTCTCTGAACAAGTTCAGGAGAAGAATTTTTATGACCAATTATGTGGCAGCCAAGGGAAGCTGAGCAGAGGGATGTCACCTTAGACTCTCTCAGCACTACCCTGAGAAGCTCACCATAGTTGGATGTCTCTGGGAAAGAAAATAATAGACCTTCCTTCTTGCTGAGATAGGCAGTTTCAACACAGTGTCCATGTGCAGACCCAAGTCAACAGGAAATGATACCAACTAAATATTTGGGGGCACTGGTACTGGCAACTGTGGGGTGCTGTTGATAGCCATTAGATTCCCTTTCTGGTTTCCTGTGATACAGAGATGTAACTCTAAAAACAGAGGAAGTGCATTCTGGGGCTGAGAGCCAGCAGACCTCAGAGCGAGACTGGATTGTTCCAGTTGAGGAGCCATTGGTCATAGATATGTTAGGAGATGCCTGTGTTCATGTCCTTGGCCCACAAGGCATGGTAGAACTCCAGGGGAAACCTATTATTGTATCTCAACTTTGTATAAGTTTTACATTAAAGACCAAAGGAGAAGAGTCAGAATTTTATAGACTCATTAGAGTTATAGTTGTTTCTCTATAAATGGCCTTGGAAAAGGTGTGTATTTTTCCCTTTTTCTCTTGAAATCAAATTTTCAGAAGCCCAATTTGAAGCTTGTCAGTGCCTGACTAGATATTCTAAATCAAAGTCTGTTTTGCCCACTCCAACTGTACCTATTCCATTCCTATAAGAAACCAAGGAATAAGTAGCATTACTAAGAAAATCAAATTACTAAGAGAGAAGATATCGTGTGTGTGTGTGTGTGTGTGTGTGTGTGTGTGTGTGTGTGTGTTTGTCCTGTGCTTGAACTCAGAGTGTAGGCACTGTCCTCCAGCATTTTTGCCTTGAGCCACCGCCCTACTTCTATTTTTTTGCTGGTTAATTGGAAATAAGAGTTTCATGGGCTCCTGCCTAGGCTGGCTTTGAACCATGTCCTCAGATTACAGCCTCCCTAGTAGCTAGGATTATAGGCATGAGCCCTTGGTGGTCAGCAAAGCTATAACTTTTACAGCACACTTCGAATAATTCAAGAAAGAAGTCAATAGATTTCATGCCTCAAGTGAAGAACATTCCATCTGCCCAGGCCCTGTGCCTGTGCAGGAAGAAGTTTGAGGAGATAAAACCAGAGCAGAGGCTGCCATGCCAGTAGGGGTGGAGAGGCTTCTCTGGTGGTGGCCAAGAAGACAGATGTATCACTGTCCTTGTTTTCTGAGGCTGCTCATTGTCTGTACCCTTTGGGAACTTTATCTATTTTTTTATGGCACCAAATAATCCTTCCATTTACCAAGGAAGATATGATGCAACTTGTTAGTCCTGTTCGAGGTAATTCTTCCTTATCGTTTGGTGCTTTATCCATGTTGTTTTTATTGATTTCAAGGGAGAATTGGCCTCAGATATCACGTCTGCTATCACCTAAAGCCACCTGTAGGTGAGAATGGTCCCCAGTGTCTGGGCCTACCGAACTGTCATGATGCAGGCCAAAGTTTCTATGTCCCTCCCTGGCTTTGTGGAGGACTCAGGACCTATGAGATCTCTTTTTTCGTTCTTTGGGGGGGAGAAGTTGGGAGTTGAACTCAAGGCCTGGGTATAGTCCCTAAGCTTTTCTACTCTAGAGTTGTGCTCTACTCTCTGGGCAATGACACTACTTCTAGTTTCCTGGTGGTAATGGGAGATAAGAATCTCATGGAAAGAGAGAAAGAAGATGAAGGCAATCAAAATGCTCTATGTCCACATGTGAAAATGGAACAGTGAAGCCTGAGACAGGGGAAGAGGAATGAGGAGAGACATTAAGGAGGTAAATCTGATCGTGGTAAATTGTATGCCTCCAGGGACATGTCAAAATTAAAGTCCTTTGTCCAACTAACTGCTACTTATATAAAGAATGGGAAAATGTGGCCAGGTGGCAGTAGCTCACATCTGGAATCCTAGCTACTCAGGAAGCTGAGATATGAGGATCAGGGCTCAAAGCCAGCCCAAGCAGAAAGGTCTATGAAACACTGGTCTCCAATTAATCAGTAAAAGGCTGGAAGTTGGGCTTATGTGGCAGAATACTATTACTGAGCAAATACTCTCAGTGACATTGCCCAGCCCTGAGTTCAAGTACTAACATGGGCAGACACACATACGCACACACACACACACACACACACACACACACACACACACACACACAAATACACACACAAAGAAGAATGGGAAAACAACAGTAAAGAAATAGTATGTCAGCCACATGTCCACGTGGAATATGACCCTTTCTTGCCTGCTTTGGAAGCCATTCAGGTACTGTAAATCTCTGTGCAGTCAAGTAATAAATACCTAGAAGATACTATGCTTTATGGGGATCAAGACAAATAGTGGCCATGCATCCTTCCATTGTACCTTAATTTGCTG